CACCATCACTTGGGTCGAGCAGTGTTCAAATAAAGATTCTTAGTTGCAGGGATGGAAGTTAAACTGAATACCATGGTTGTTACATTATAACCAGCTGTAGTGGTTATGGTGCCAGGGGTGCTCTGGCGCTACCCATGCAACCATGTAGGAACTATTTTAGAATGGTTTGACTTCTTATCTGGCCTATTGCTAAACCTAATAACCTTAGCCTATAGTACCAGGGATTGAGGATGAGTTAGGATTGAACAAGTGCACAACATTACCAATGTCTGGTGTGTTAACACCCTTCTGACTGAATACCATTTGGGGACTATCAGTATCCTGAATATAAAGCTTGTCTGGGAAAATTGTAATGTAGTCTTCTGTGGTTTGAACCTATGTTAGAGCTATTTATGCTCGATGGGTAAGGCAAATGTTAGGCTAGAGAGATCGGTTTTCACAACAGCTTATTATAGAATGAATGTAACAGTCCCTATAAGTAAAGCATTTTATTTGTTTATAAACTAGATATGAATGAGAGCTATGGGTTTTTTTTTTTTTTGGTTTTTTTTTGCATTTTGGGCCTAAGGCAGTGGTACATTTGGTAAATAAACAAGGTCATGCGCTTTTGTGAATATAATCTAGAAGTTTAGATTGTTTATAGCTAGTTGATACACCAGATTACTAATGTAGCCTCATTTTCATTAACCTTAAAGGAACACTAGTCACCTAAATTACTTTGGCTAAATAAAGCAGTTTTAGTGTATAAATCATTCCCTTGCAATTTCACTGCTCAATTCACTGTCATTTAGGAGTTAAATCACTTTGTTTCTGTTTATGCAGCCCTAGCCACACCTCCCCTGGCTATGATTGATAGAGCCTGCATGAAAAAAAAAATGGTTTCACTTTCAAAGATGTAATTTACCTTAAATAATTGTATCTCAATCTCTAAATTGAACTTTAATCACATACAGGAGGCTCTTGCAGGGTTTAGCAAGCTATTAACATAGCAGGGGATAAGAAAATCTTAATTAAACAGAACTTGAAATAGAGAAAGCCTAAATAGGACTCTCTTTACAGGAAGTGTTTATGGAAGGCTGTGCAAGTAACATGCAGGGAGGTGTGACTAGGGTTCATAAACAAAGGGATTTAACTCCTAAATGGCAGAGGATTGAGCAGTGAGGCTGCAGGAGCATGTTCTATACAACAAAACTGCTTCATTAAGCTAAAGTTGTTCAGGTGACTATAGTGTCCCTTTAAACTGTCACTCTAGACAGTTTAAGAATCTCAATTTAAGTTGTTCTGGTGTCTGGAGGTCCTGGGCATTAACTTACCTTATTAAATCAAACAATGCTGATCATGGTGCCTTTCCTCCTAGCCCCTTTTCCTCCTCCACTTTCCATGACTTCAATGCCGAAGGCTTTCCTTAGGTGCCAGTGATAGACTGAGAGTTTCAGATTGATATTCTCAGTCAACAAGTAGTTTCTTATTAGAAAAAATCTCTTTTTTAAAAAGGTATATTGCTAAAGCATTTTCTCAATGGAAGGCCAGTGATTCTCTCAGCCCATCACCGGTGCCCTTGGAAAGGCTTTCATATTGTATCCAGGAATGTAGGCAGAAGAGGCAGGAGGTTGGGCACTGTGGCCAGTACTTTGGAGGTTAAACAATTTGAAAATGGTTTAACCCTTTAACTTCATATGGTGAAGTTAAAGTCTAAACTATCCAAATCTTATTTTGCCATGATAAACTCTTTTGATTTTGAGGTTTAACTTCCAACATTTGAAGTAGGATATTTATGCTGAAACATATATAGTCTACAGTGATGCTTTTTTTGCCAAACTGTGAGGTGTATGTGAGTTTTTAAAAAGTGAAAAATCTCATCTGATTTCATTACAATGCATCATCACATGTGCCTACATGCAAGAGAAACATGACTTTCATATTCCAGATTTCATTTTCAGATTGTTTTATAAACCATACTTACCTGAAATCCACAATTTAGTAAATACCATTGAAATATAATGCAAATTATCTAAACATTAACCCCTTAAAGACTGAGGCAGTTGTACAAATTGTGATCAAAACAAAACATAATGGGGTATGTCCAGTCTTTTTTAGTAGCCATTTAGTCACAAACATTGGCCAAAATTAACGTTCATATTTGTTTGTGTGTGAAAAATGCAAAAAACTAATTTGAACGCCAATTTTGGCCAGTGTTTATGACTAAATGGCTACTAAAAAATACTGGACATGTCCCATTTGTAATACCTTGGGTTGTCTACTTTTGTAAATGGTATGCCATCATAAGGGTAATTCTGATTCCTGGGCTACCATACCTTCTTAAAGGCAACATAACCAATCTGGCAAATTTAAATGTAAAAAACACAGAAATGCAAGCCTTATATTTGACTCTGACTTTTGAAAACATCATAAAACCTGAACATGGAGGTACTATTATACTCGGAAGACTTTGCTGAACAGAAATATACAAGTGTTGCCAATGGTTTAGACATTAATGACTGTGTGTTGAGTTATTTTGAGGGGACAGCAAATTTACACTGTTATACAGGCTGTACACTTACTACTTTACATTGCAGCAAAGTGTCATTTCTTTAGTGTTGTCAAATGAAAAGATTTTATAAAATATTTACAAAAATGTGAAGGGTGTACTCACGTTTGCGAGATACTGTATATAGAGATATAGTGGAAAATTGTTTAATACTTACCATAATTTTTTTTCCTGATAATTATTCATGGCAGCATTTACTCATGGGTTAGCTCCTCCCCTTACAGCAGAAAGGACAGAAAATAGAACTTTGAAACTGGTATAAATAGATCCTTCCCCTTCCCATCAGGCAGTCTTTGTAACTAGCTTCACAACTCCTATAGTATATGGGTTGGAACATAATGCTACCATGAATAACTATCAGGAAAAGAAAATTACGGTAAGTATGAAACAGTTTTCCACTTTCCTGACCATTATTCATGGCAGCATTTACTCATGGGGAATACCCAAGCAGTATATATCAAGGGAGGGACAGAGTTCAAAAACAGCTAATAGCCATAAAACCATTATTGAGCTGTATAAATCTTAAAAGACTTTACAAAGCCAAACAAGAATCAATAGGATATTGTCATAAAATCTGCTCAGACAAGATAATTTCCCCTAGAGGCTGCAAGGTCAGCAACCTCCTGGCATTCAATATCTGAAATATCCTGAATAAATATAGAATTAAATATAGAATTAAGGCCACGATAGCATAAACTAGAGAAGGATAATGTCATTCTGATATAAAATTTAAAACCAAATTGATATCATCAAATCAGAACCTTGAAAAAGGTATAACTTCCAGAGATCATACTGGAACAAACAGATAATGTTGGATAAGAACGGACACACCATGCTATTAAACACGGGGAGAATTACACTGAGAATCCTACTACTTACTGGATGTATTTATTAAATACGATTCACAACGCTTCCTCTTGCCTTGTGAACTACTTACCTGAAGATACAGGAACAAATCAATATCTGCCTGTCAGAAAGAGGCAGAGCCTAGTAGAGAAATAAGAGTCTGTTATTAAAACACTGCAACAATGACCCGATATGGCAAAATTCAGATTCACAACAATACCTCACAACGTGGATGAATTGATACAACAATGATCAGTCACAGGAGAATAAACTAATAACATTACTAGGCAAAGGCAAGAAGAATCATATACAGATTAGTTGAGAAAAAAGAAATATCGGTATGAATCATAGAATTTGTGGCAACTACTAAATTATAAGGAGGCCAACCACGTCAGTACCTACATTCAAAGATAAACATATTGTAAATAGTACAGATTATGCCAAACAGTATAATCAAATTTATTAGACTGTTGTGCAACATAAGTAAGAGATATATATAATAGGCAAGATACTGATGGGAAGGTGGTAACCAGAGGCACATTATACATTGTGGCAACAGACACATAATAAGCAGTATAGTAGTGATGTACCGAACGGTTCGCCGGCGAACGGTTCCTGGCGAACATAGCATGTTCGCGTTCGCCACGGCGTGCGAACATATGCGCGGTTCGACCCGCCCCCTATTCGTCATCATTGAGTAAACTTTGACCCTGTACCTCACAGTCAGCAGACACATTCCAGCCAATTAGCAGCACAGCCTTCCTAGCAGACCCTCCCACCTACTGGACAGCATCCATTTTAGATTCATTCTCAAGCTGCATGCTTAGTAAGAGGAGGGAAAGTGTAGCTGCTGTTCATAAGATAGGGAAAAGTATAGCTAGGTTAGGGATAAGGGTATGCTTTTTTTTGATTTTTTTTTTCTATGTAATGTAAATGCACTTAGTTGTCTGCCACTGCTGCCAGCTTCTGTGTCAGGCTCACAGCGCCCATTTCCCCAGTCAGTGCCACCAATTACATCTGGTGTCACAATAGCTTGGATTTAAAAACAAAAAACTTTTTTCACTGTTATAGATTGAATAGCACTCAGTTGTCTGCCACTGCTGCCAGCTTCCGTGTCAGGCTCACAGTGCATACTGTGCCCATTTCCCCAGTCAGTGCCACCAATTACATCTGGTGTCACAATAGCTTGGATTTAAAAACAAAAAACCTTTTCACTGTTATAGATTGAATAGCAGTCAGTTGTCTGCCACTGCTGCCAGCTTCTGTGTCAGGCTCACAGTGCATACTGTGCCCATTTCCCCAGTCAGTGCCACCAATTACATCTGGTGTCACAATAGCTTGATTTAAAAACGCACACCCTTTTCACCGTTATATAGATTGAATAG